TATGCAAAATGTTATCATTTGATAATTTATTGTCATTTATTTTTCATGTGAATTAATGTCAAAAATTAAGTGATGAATTATGTATCTTCTCAATTGAGTCAACAAGAAGCGACATTTGTTGGAGACTTTCACAACTAATAATAGAGAATGCAAATCAGAATTTTAATCGCTTCAATATTAGATTGCCCAAATAAATTATTAATCTAAATACAGTTGTCTTTGAAATAGGTGAAGATAAGCTTCAACTTCTTTCTGTTGGTAAAAGAAAAGGAGTGAATCATGTATCTCACACCTTCCTAACATTTTTTGAGTCAATAAGTAATTCTGTCCAAGATTTTTAATAATTTTTTTCATGAAACTTTTATCAGTAGGTAATAAAATTATGGGAAAATTTTTTTGTTGATAGTTACGTAAATGCTCATATTTTTTAAAACCCTTTAGTTTTTTTTGATAATTTCTAAGAAAAGGATGTATATTGTTATCTTTAAATACTTAAAGAAAGTTTTTTTGTTAAAAAGAATTTGTAATGATGTAGTTTACCTTTGGATTAAATTGAAGAAGATTTTCTGAAAAAATGAAAAAGAACTCAAAAATAAAGTGTACATTTTTTTAAGAGCAACTTCCATATATAACAAACACAAAATTTATATTGGTATATTATAGATATAGTTTGTATAATTGCGCTCCATGGCAAATATGTTATGACTATTTCTGCTATACGTATATACAAAAGAAGTTAGGCTATTTCGCTATACATATATACAAAAGAAAACAATTGTATAATTTGCTGACTTCTCTTTAGATTTGTATAATTTTTCTGGTAAACCATTTGTATAAATTGTTGACAGCCTCTCATTTATATAATTTGTTGGCTCCTTTTCATATTTGTATAATCTCGCTGACAGGTCATTTGTATAAATTTTAAGCAGCCTCTCGTCTGTACAAACGTTGACAGCCTCTCAATTCTTTTATGTGTTTGTATATGTGTCTAGAATTTGAATTTATATACAATTGAATCAAAATAAAATGTTTGTACATCAAATAACACACTCTCTCTCGCCTTGTACAAACATAAACTATACATTGTATTTTGTATAACCTGTGTTTGTATAAAGCAACAAAGAGAGAAAGACAAAAGAGAACTGGCAGGAGAATACTTGTATTATATAATTATAAGTTTATAGGACAAAGATATATGCATATGCATGAGTATATACAATTTTCTCCCCCTTTATACAAACAAAAATACAATTTATACATTTCTGATTGTATATTCGAGAGAGGCGACAGACAGAGGGAGCGAGCGAGAGAGGGAGAGTAGCGAGCGAGAGTTTGAGGGAGAGAGACGACTGACAAACAGTTTGTTAGAGAGCATAATCAAATCAAAGTGTGATTATAACATTTAATTTGAATTATTAGTTTGTCATTATATACATTTCCCCCCTTTTTTTAACATATAAATAAACTAATTTATTAGTTCGCTAAGTTGCAGCGAGGGCCGACTCTATGCTTTGGGAAATAAGGCTTTTGTCTTAGGCCCCAAAATTTCGGTGGGCCCAAATTTTTATCAAGACTTATGTGTTAAATTATTTACAGAAAAATTAATTATCTATGATAAAAGTATATTTTTTTTATAAAATATATTATTTTCTCCACTTTATTATCTTTTGTACTTTGTTAAAAATAAGAACTAATAGTGAAAAGTCTTGAATAAAGTGAATTGCAATTTTTTTTATTTCTCTTTAAATTTTAGTTTCAAGCATTACAACATGCATATTAAAATGGGGTATACCCAGACATCGACTTCTTGCATCAAATTTTATGGTTCTAAGTCTTATCTTTATTTAATATTTATCAATTTATTACTTATATAATTTTGTTAATAATTCATATAATAATTGTCTCACTAAAAGGATTTTTTTCAATGTTGAGTTGATAAAATCTTACCTAATACTAATTACCTAAAAAACAATACTAAAATAATAATAATTTTCATCTAAATAGTGTAAGAAAAATAAATTTTGAATAAATATATGTATGAAGTTTATGTATATTTAAGACCCCCAATTGACAATTCGATTTAGGCCCCCAAACATGTTGAGCCGCCCCTAATTCCAAGGAATTCTATGGTCATGAGAGGTTATATTGTCCACTAGATTAGTATGTTTTATGATGAATATAAAATAGGAGATTCTAGCACTTAATTTATATTTGAACTTGCAACATGAAGTCATAATATCACATTTTGATTTCAAATGAATATTTAGACATGCGATTTCAGATTATGATTTTCATGGTTTCACATCTTAAATTTTCTATAAATAAAAACATAATTTGAAATTATAAATCATGATTTTAAATAACAATTAAATGTGAAATTATCTCATAAGTTTATATTTCACAAAAAGGATCTCTCATTTTATCTTGTGCAAAAAATAATTTGTGTTCTGTGTGAAAAGATTGTTTGTACCATGTGAAATGATTATATTAAAGAATAACTATCTACTACAATTATTGACTTGTAGATCTCTATAAAATTATGTGTACTAAGAAGTTTACAATAAAGAAATTTATTTATAAACGAAACATGAAGATATGTGATTTATCAATGCGGCACTTTAGAATACTCTGATATTTTATTTATGAACTGTGATTTGCTCATCTAGTAAGATTGTATAAGAATTGGAAAAATATTAATAGTTTTAACTACTTATGCAGTTTTCATGTTAACGAGAAATAAATAACTTAGAAATGTTAATGCATGTGATTTATCAATGCGGCACTTTGGGATACTCTGATATTTTGTTTATGAACTGTGATTTGATCATCTAGTAAAATTGTATAACAATAGGAAAAATATTAATAGTTTTAACAACTTATGTAGTTTTCATGTTAACGAGAAAAAAAAACTTTTAGAAATTTTTATGCATATCCAAACAAACATTAACTTCAACTTCAAATCATTATGATTTCATGTCATGATTTACATCGCATGCCCAAACGGGTCCTAAGATATTTTTTTGTAGGTTAATTTATAAACTCCATATTATTCTTTTATAGGTTAGGTTTAAGTGTGTTAAAGGATTCATTCTGTCTATCCTATTTTATGTTGATATTTAACTCGATAATTAGTAGTTAGTTGTATTAAACAATATAACTATAAATATGCTTAATGAATATGTTAATATCCAAATGAACTTGCTAAATAATTATTAGTTAGTTACTCCAATATGTATAGATATTTTCTTATACTATTAGTTGGGATGTCAAACATGTTAGTTAAAAATTGAATAATAGAAATTAAAATAATATTTATTACTAGGAAATGAGAGAAGGGTCAAACATACTCTTGTACTACAAGAAATAGTTTAAATATACTATTTGTTATACTTTAGATCCAAATATACTCCTCTCATTATACTTTTATACTTTAGATCCAAATATACTCCTCTCATTATACTTTTAATACAAATATACTCCTTTCATAATACCTTGGCACAAATCTATCCTTAATCTTGATGGAAAGACACACAACAAGCTTAGAATCAAATAGTTTACTCCCAATTTTCTTAGAAATCCACTCATTCCCTCATCTCGAACCCATTCCCTCCACTTTTGAGTTGCTTTAAAAATATCACCTCATATTTTATAATTATTTTTATATATATAGAGATGACGAACTATGTGTATCACGATTCACTCCACATTATTGTGCTACCCTTTTCTAGCACAAATTAAAGAAGACGACTTTTCGAAATTTTTCTATAATATAAAATTATTCACATCATTGGCATCTTCTTACGATATTTGTCACGCTCCGAGGCTATTCTGCATGTAAACACGGAACCAAGGATTACGAATGACCCCAATCTAATCCTAAGTTGGCGTATATTACGCAAACTGGACATACCTATGAAAACATGAACTAATGAGGAAGTTAAATCATGAAATAACTAAAGGATGGGGAATACCCAATACTATTCTGAATATATATAAAATTCTAAGAATTTAGTGATACTGAACAATCACTCAAAAATTAACGTTGAATCTTATACTATGTCGGAAAAGCCTCCACTAATTAGAGTTGCTCGGACATGTCCCCAACTAATCCTAGCAAAACTAAAACTGAAAAAAAATACTAAATTTGAAAACACGTCTATGAGGACTCACCACTAGCTAAGGACCTATGTGACACATAATTGTGAGATCTATAGATTACTTCTAGAATTAAGCCTTACCTAATGCATTGATATAGGGTTTCCATCTCATGAGTTCCCTTAGGATGACCCGAACTATTGAATTGACGTGAGGGTCTTTATTTCACTTTCTATATCCACTCGGTGCTAAGTATAATTTTCCAAATCACTTGTTTAGTCTTGAACTGAATTTACATGTTTGAAAGAATATGTTACCCTTCGTTCAACCTAACTCTTAAAATAGCTCATAGATTTAATTTAGGTGAAAACGAACTTTCAACCTTAGAATCGTCATTAGTATGTGAGAATAACTTTCACACCAAGATCATGTGTTCTCATGAGAATGGACGTTCAATCAACCCAATAGGATCACCATGATCATGTATATTTCATGCATAATAATGTGTAAAGGTGTGTATGAGAACTATACTTTCAATTGACACCAGAGATACATCATAATCGTGTTTATGCATGGAGTGTGTGTAATTGTCCTTGTAATGACACAACAACAGCAATATCATCGTAGAAACTTCCCTCTCAAAGTGTTCATAAGCATGTATAACATCACAATAATGCATAATTCACTTATATTGCATTCAAGGATAATATACCGTGTAAATCAACACATCCAACACTGACTATGATAGACATGGATGTAATCATACTTCAAGTAATTCTTTTATTGTATGTATAAACTCATAAACTCATATTGTCACGTGAGTAGGATCCTTTTCTTAATTGTCACAATCATAAAATGGACGTGATGACACTCATCTTATCCCATAAAGATAAGTCAGCATAAAATTCAACTAATATAGTGAATGCTGAATTAAAACATCAATAAAAGTCTAATATTGTAAAATACTGCGGAAAACAAGGTCATAATTAAACCCTTAAAACCTGGTTGTCACGTGTAAAAGCCTCTAAAGTATTACAACTGAATCAAAAGAAAAATACAAGTCTCACATGACATTGTTTCTAGAGTAGAACAAGATCATAAATAGGAGTAAGAAGGTCTACCAAATGACAAGTAACTAATCTCACAAACCTCCATAAGAAGCCTCAGACAAGGAGAAGAGAAAATATCACAAAGGTGTTCATGCTAATAACCTGCAAAAAATTGTAGAAGTAAGGGATGAGTACCAAACCACACGGTAATCAACAAGTAAACCTCCAAAAACAAGTTAAGGGGATAAATACGGGTACTCCTTACACCTCAACCGAACCTCTACAACTACAACCTGCATAAAATCAGCCCAACCTAATAGTTCACCATTTACAAGCACATATCTCACAACAACATTCTAACAATCACATATACTCAACAACAAGCTCAATATTCATCAATTATAACCTCCACAAAAAGACACTCACAATATCAGCAATACATACGATCAAGTTCATCAAATAGAGATAACCAAATATCAAGTACTTTTCAACCACCAATAAAATACATTATCATCAAGACTGAAGGATGTCAGGGGATACAATGCAATATGACACCATGAAATGATATGCCTCAAAATACCAAGTACTCGCTTAACCTTGTATACATGATACTCCTCAGGAATACATTGAGAGTTCATGACCCATGAGGGACTCAAGAGGTCCATATATCGGCACGGATGATCTCCACGTGTCTGTGCGGACGATCTCAACACACTATCATAAAATAAAACAATTCCCAGCACAGACGATCTCCACGTGCCCAACTTATAATCATAGACAATTTCCTCGCATGGATGATCTCCACGTGCCCAAATTATAATCACACTCGATCTCAACATGGACGATCTCTACGGGTTAGACCTTTTACTTATACTCAATCTCATGTCAATGCATGTGCACAATATGATATCAAATAAAGAGGAGATGCAATATCTCAATAAATTAAATGTCGTTATGACATATAATCACCTCAATTATCACAATGCTATGGGTTTAGTAAAGAACACAATTACACAAAATAAATCTAGTCAATAATATATAATATAATGTCCATATGTTTTGGCATTCTCATATTGCAATTCACATTCTATAGTAATAAACTTTGCTTTTATAACACTAATACTCGTACTATTCTCAAACCATCACATACAAACACTTAATCATTTGCCTTTTATCACTCCTTTTCATCATTAGAATTAATCAAGGTAGAAAAATCAACCCTTCACCAAGTCCCGTTACTCCCAACACATACCATAAGAAAATACACAATTTCATACACTTAACAAGGGTTTAGAAATTTCACTTGCCTCAAATAGTCGAACAATCGCTCTAGGATTTAAGACTTGTCGTTTCGTTGAAATTCCAAATAAATGCAATCTACTCAAATATGTAATCACCATAAGATTCCAAAACTAACAACACTCGGTGCTATATGTCTAGCTAAGACCCAAAAACTCATTCAAATATATAATCAAGTTCCTAATCTTGAATTCTTGATGTCAATTGGCATGTCAACTCTTATATTTCTAAATTTCAAGTCTAGGGTTTAGTTACAATTTCTTCAATATAATAATATTCATATAATACAATATATTTAATATTTAATTATCTATCTCAATATATCAAAATTTAATTTATTGAAATTATAGAAAAAAATTGAAATAAAAGTCAAAGTTACAAATAATTAAGCGTGTCAATTCGCTGAACAACAACAATTACCCAAACTCAATTCACATTCCTTAAAATCTTCAATATCCTCACAAGCCATCCTTACGTAAGCAATAACCTCAAACCTTATCCATCATTAGCCGATAATGGCTTAAGTCTCATCTCCTCAAATTGTCTGAAGAACTTACTGCAAAATTCTAAATTTCATTCTCAATTTTGTCGAATTTTCCTTCCTAATTCATTCCACTTTACAGTTTCTCCCCTAAGTTAGAGAACATGGCACCAATATAAATATAATTTGTAAATTTATCACACAATTCAACAAAAATAATAATAATCTAATCTCTACCATATCATTATACTATAACTAATGTAGGCACATACAAAAATGGAAGGCCGGGGGAACTCTTACCTGCAACCCTTCGTGTCCTTTTGTTTAGTATCCGAGGACACTTTTTCTTTAAATAATTAAGTATAAAATTAATAAACCCTATTACTTATTTTAATATATAGGCCAAGTTGAATATGATATTAAGGAAATTATGGATTTGGCCCATTAATCACCAACTAATAAAAAATTTATTTAATAAATACTCGTCATGTAAATAGCTTTAGTTTTCGAATAGTTCAAAAATTTTCAAACACACTTTATTGACTGGTCAGAAATAACTCGAGACAACTATCGAGAGGGATAAAACAATAATTTTATAAAGATTCCCAAGAATGAATTTTCAGGATAATACAATAATAATACCATATACAATTAAAAATGCACAATAAGTTAACACCTCTACCTTTCAAGTGGATCACCATATAATCTAACTTTCGAGGTTAACTAACCACATACTTCATTCTTACTATATTATAGTCATATAACATCAAGTAAACTCAATCTCAATACTATTTATCCATGATTCATCATATAAGACCTAATCAAGTTAGTTCATGTCTACAAGAATCAATCTTAAGCAATTCATGTCTAGATATTCTAATCCAAGGCAATTCATCAATTTTAGGAGTTCACATCTAACCCTCAATTTGCTTCTTCCATGACTTAATCCTAAGTTATATCAATTTCACCCTAGAATCTTTGGTTAATCAAGAATATAAGTAGATTCATACTTAAATCAAGTAATTACATCCTTATCAACTCTCATTCAATCAATTGAATCAACAACATTCATAATGTAGAGAAGAGTCAAAGCTAAGATAGGGGAAAACTTATGGATTCTTTGGAATTCAAGTTAAAATCATCTAAAATTTGTAGTATCATCAATAACCAACATAATTCAACCTTTTATAATAACTTTGAAAGAAATCTATGAGGTTGAATTGAAACCCTAGCTTTTCAAGATTTCTAGAATTGAATTAAAGCTTTTGAGAGGGCTCCATGGTGATAACTACCATGGATGAAAACTTTACCTTAGGTTTAGAATCCAATCAAATTCGTATATAAAATATCCAATCTTCAAGCCTTAGTTGATCTCTTTCTTGGTTCTTCAATGGAGGTTCTAGAGAGAAGATTTTTGGAGGGGAAAGTAGTTGAGTTTTGATTTGGGGTCTTGGGATATAATGAATTAATTAGGTGTTTAATGATATAAATTAGTTTATATAGGTCTGTTAAATCAGTATAAAATGACCCTAAACTAAAATAATCAAATTAGGAAAACTTACTTGTTGGACAAGATTTGGACAGCAAGTGCAGTGGTGAAATACGACCATGACCCACGAACCATGGGTCCATTCACGCCCCCGTCCTGTGGGTCTGTGGTTTGCACCTGAGTCTTTCCATGGCATGTCTTAATAGGCCTTGACCTATGCCCATGATCTAAGGGGCGTGGTTTGGTCTACTGGTCGTGGATGGTCATCCGTAGGTCACACATTTTCTTTTCCAAATTTAGGGACTGTTTTGGGTTCCTCCTCAAGGACCCATTGGGTGGTCTTTGGGGGGTCGTACCCAAAAGTTAAACACTTAAAACCCTTGTTCTAAGTATGATAAAAAAAAATAAAAAAAAATTAAAAAAAAAATTAAAAAAAAATTTAAAAAAAAAAAAAAAAAGTATGATAATCGTTTCTACGAGTTTTGAGCCTCATACTACACTCCTAACCTCTTACGAAAGACACTGGAACTCACTAATTCAACTCTAAACTCATACATGAAACTAGGTCTTATTAGTTTCGACCTACAACATTGTCAAGCTACCATGTTAACTACCTTATTACCCAATGTATCAGCTACTACATAATTAGTTTTATTCGGATGATAAAAAATGATCAATCATAATCCATACGTAACTTTAAACACCATTGTTGTCTCAAATTGAGATCCCTCTTGCTAAAATTATCCTAAAAGCAACAGTGATATGTGAAAATCTCACTTTCCCTTCTAAAACTCATGCATAAGCTAATCACGTGTCTTGGTGCATTCATTGTAAGTTAATAAAAACACATCGTAAATAGCATGAAGAATATTCACAAAACACAAGATATATGGGCAAATAATAGTAAATAGACATATAAATACGCCCAAGATTACTTAACCTAGTCAAGTCATCCACTTCAATAAAACAACTACGATCCTTGACCCTCATAACACATGCATGATTCAAACTTTAGCTCTAATCAAGTATAGTTTCTCTTTTTCAAGCAGTCGAGCCTTAATCTATTCCATCATAAATGACTATACCTCAACACAACCAAGAACTCTGCCCTGAAGTATATATACCTCAACACAATCAAGAAATTTGTCTAGCTCTGAACTATATAGTCTCATAAAGCTATTACGCAAGTACTAAACATCTATATACAAATATCCCTCCTCGACCTGCAACATTGTCAAGCTACCACGTTAACTACCTTATGACCCTATACATTAGCTACTACATTAGTTTTATTAGAATGATAAAAAATGATCAATCATAATCCTTAATAACCCCAAACACTGTTGTCTCAAATTAAGACCCCTCTTGCTAAAAATTATCCTAGAAGTAACAATGATATGTGAAAATCTGACAATCTATACCATAGAGGTAATGCTTTCAAATCTTCGAAGAAAATCATATTGTTGCACACCTAGATCATGGGTAGAATAGTTTTTATCTCGTGAACCTTCAGCTCTCTCGAAGTAAGAACTATCACTTTTTTTTTCTTGCGTTTATGATGTTTGATCCTCAACCTTTCTCTTTGGCTTTTGTTGAATTCTGATATCTTTTTTTAAATTTTGAGGGAATTCTATTTATAGTTGTAGCATGAACAAATTGTGATAGGAACAAAATCTTTTCGACCAAATCATCTTGGAGTTGACACAATAACATTTGATTAGTTATCATAACAAATTACATGTACATATAACACATTTTCCTTGGCCTCAAAAAATTGACATACACATGAAACCAATTTAGGTATTAATATAAAATGACATTTTGTACTTGATAAAATGACATTTTGTACTTATCATTTGTAGTCCAATTAAATGAGCTAGTCGAATGTATTTATACCTTTTAAACGAAATCATATTTAATGAACTTAATTGAACAATTAATTATATTTTCCACTTATTAATTTGATTTTTTTGTGGATCAAAGTTTAATGGCTAGTTAAATTTGGGATAGAGGGATTTATGTAATTTATCATCAGGTAAAGATGAAGCAATTGTAGGTGTGGATATGAGGGAAACCCTAGTTTTGAGAAGTATTTGAGATAGAAGAAAAAATGGGAGCTTCTATGTGGAGTCTACAACTTCATACAGTCTCAGTTCCGGTACCACTTGAGGCATTCTGGAGGTATAATAGTACTAGGAAGAGGACCTTCAAGAAGCTTAACATAGTTGCTAATGGTGATGCCAAGAATTCGAAGAATCTTCCGCACCAAATTATGGTTGTCAAGTCCAACAAGCCCAATTTACCTGTTCTACTTCAAGACGCTGTTACCAAATTACAAGAGAGCGTCAAATCTATACCTCCCCCTTCCCTCCTGGTAAATGGCTCAACATGACTATATTCATATCACTTTTTTTGTTCTTCCTGCTATCTTATGGTACGTGATATGATGTTTTTTTTTTTCCTACTCTTTCTTGACATACCAACTATTTCTTTCTTCATGGTGCAATTTTTTCATGTTCCATCTGGGCTCTCAATAATTCCGATTTGATGTTCAGATCCAGTGCAATGTATTTATTGATTAAATTCACCATTAAAAGCAGCTTAGACATTGTATTCACTTTTATTTAGAGACCTATGGTTTCAAAGATGGAGTCCAAGTTCGGCAGAGGACCCATTGGTCAAAGGGAAGGGAAGGTCCTGCTTTCTTCATTTTGGCCTTTTCTTTTAATACATGTGTTTTAATTGCAGGTAAAGAAACATTCTGGTGTTAGTTTACCAATTGCACTGTCTACCATGGTCACCTTGTTGGTTATTATACTGAGGAATTATGTTGCAAAAAGGTCAAAACCCAACCGCCCTGGGTCTGTAGCTGATCTTGTTAGGCGTGGGCAATTAAGATCGGATAGAAGAGGCATGTATGGATCATTAACCTTTTGAATTGCTTGTTTATGATGTATTTCTTCTGCTGTTACTTTTCAGGATGTAGATTCTAATCATATGATCATATGCTGCTGAGATGATATTTTTTTGAAATTCAGTGCTTGCATAGTTTTTAAATGCTGCAATGTGTGCTTTTCCTTATTGATTTGTCTTGAAATTCAGATCAAATCCTCTTAAATATAACGACCCATTCAATAATCCATTAGTGAAAGTCAGCAAGAGCAATTCAACTGTAGAGATGTGTGGGCAAGTGTACCGTTTGGCACCAGTAACTCTTACCAAGGAGCAACAAGCGGTCCATCAGAAGCGGAGATCACGTGCATATCAGTGGAAGAGACCAACATTGTTTCTTAGAGAAGGTGATTCAGTGCCTCCTGATGTGGATCCTGACACTATCAGGTGGATTCCTGCAAATCATCCTTTTGCAACTACTGCAAGTGAAATTGACGAGGATCTGGCACAAACTAATGTTTATCAGAAGCACGGTGTTCCATTCCGTATTCAGGCAGAACATGAAGCCCTGCAGAGAAAGCTTGAGGCACTCCAAAGTGTAAGCAATCATAACCCCTAATATTAGCTTATAGACGTGGTAAAGAAAAGCAAATGCACGACATATTCTCACAGTTGTTAAAATCTTACATCTACAGGCCGGTTACCACCAATATCACCTTAGACTTCCTGGTTTTATAATTGTGTTCAATACATTTTTATAACAGCATATGCCATTACACTGTTGCATTATCATTTGTCAGATTGTAATATCAATTACATTCATGCAAATGTAATCTGATTTGTAGCTTAACTGCAAGATTCTCCAGGTTTCTTGCGTTAAAATTCTAGGGGAAGTTAAAATAATGCAGACTTTGTTTTCCTTTTATTTTAAGCGATAAACTGATTTATGTATTGTGAAAAATAATGGACATCTAGATGCTATATTCTAAGCTTGCAGGAAGAAAGGAAAAGAATTCACAGGACAGAATTCCCATCTCAATTAAATGGAAAGAGATGTTAGTTGCAGAGTTGCCTGCACATTTGGTGAAATTTCCCTAGACATCGTTGTTATACATAGTTGTAGAAGCAACGGAACACCCCACCTTTGCGTCAGCCGTCATGTAATTTTTTCTATTTCAACATGGTCGTTCATAGTGCTTTGAGGGGTACTGGTTTTCCGTAAGTGTGAATTTCGTATAGGTTAATATACTTGTGCATAAATAGAGAGCACAAAAGAATTTGAAACCAGTAGCAGTAAAAAAATGTTAAGAAAATGACTGTCTAGGAACACTAATTGAATTGTGTGAGTCCTAACTAGTTTCTATGAATGTCGTTGCACGTCAATAATATCGTGTAATAGTCGTGTCAATTATTTATACACGGGCACAACAATGGATATTATCTGAACCTGCAAAAACTAATCAATTTAGTTAAGTTGGATAATATTTTAATGGACTCGTGGTTTAAAAAATGGCAATGTGATCATACAGTACCTTTTTTTGGGGGGGTCATGAAGATTATATTAACTTCAAACAAGATTTACAAGGGAGGCAGTAGCTACCATATTGGAGTGCATATTGTTTGTAGCAGTAACTATGTTATTATTAGCATTACAAACATTCCTATCACTAGTAGTATTTGTTGTAGCTGGTGATGAGTAGTTACAAAAAGAGTTATGCTGGAGCGTGAGCACATCTCACGAGACATCTCGTGGTGGTGACACCTACCTGATCTGCTTCTAGGAGATCCTTAACAAAAGCAGGAGGTTGCTAAACAAGGTTGGTGCTGCTTCCACTGAATGAGTTTCACAAGACTTCTTCTGTACGTTTAATGAGGAGTGAGAACATATGTTGGCAATAGCTATTGAGTATTAATCAAGTAACAAATAGTTAGAATTCTAACCAATAGCAACAAAGAGTTGGAAGATCTGATGATCATGTGATATGTTCAAAGTTACCAATATAACCTGTTTCAAAGGAGTGATTCAAAAATTAAATTATTTACAATTTCTGCTTGATGATATATGCCTTGTTACCAAATAGGAAAATAGTTCCAAATATGTACTCCATATTTACTTCGAACATATAATTTTGAAGATAAATAATATGGCAAGACAACTATAGTTGAAGCACTATTACTGGGTACTAATTTGATATCTACTGAAGTTGCTTTAATGCTTGTACTAAAATTGAGATTTTGTAAGCAAATCATTTTCTTTTTTTAAAAAAGGACAAGATCATCACTTAATTAAAGTCAATTACACATTAGGTGCAGTTGTCATTGTAGCGGATTCCCGTAATGCATACTACACATTAGGTGAGGTGACATGGTGTATGATTTTGCGGATACATTTTTTGATCGAAGAGACTCAGGGTGGAGTTAACAATAGGTTGGATGTGTGGAGACCGACTCTGGAGTCTAAAGGGTAGGGTTCCGGTTGAGGAGGACCAAAACAAAGTATATAGAGTGTAAATTTAGTGATGTGACACATGAAGAAGGTCTGGAAGTGAGACTTGATGCACAATTTGTTCTCAAGAGGGAAAGTAAGTATTTGGGATCTTTGATATGTGGAAATGGGAGATCAACAATGATGTCACACATATGAGTGCGACATTCACATGGATAACGTGGAGGCTTTCATCCGACATCTTGTGTGACAAGAAGGTACCACCAAAATTTAAAGGTATGTTCTACGGTGGTGGTTAGACTGACTTTGTTGTATGGGATAAACTGCTGGCCAGGTTCAGAAGATGCAAATGGTGCAAGTGAGGATGTATACTAGGAGGGATAGAGTTAGGAATGAGGATATTTGGGACAAAGTAGGT